CACTCGAAATTCTCTTTCTCTCTCTCGTATGCCTTAAATTCATCATTGTTCATTCGGTTACTGTTCACTCAAGGAACCAGCTCAGTCTCAGGGGGAACATCAGAAGGAAGCTCAAATGTCCTTAAGCCCGAAGTTGGAGGAAATTCGGAAAAGTCAGAGTGAAGAGGATGAAATAGAGATTGTTGGTTACAATGAGGAGACACTCATTGTTAAGACCATGGTACGAAGTAGAGTAACTCAATCTTCATTAAAGAAGTTCACTGAGAAGGTGTAGGAGGAACAGTCCATTAATTCTCTTCCGGAAACCAAGAGAAAAAGGGTACCAGCAAGAACCTTTCACACCACAAAAGGGTGGAGGTCTTTGCTTGATTGATGTGATGCTAGTCTTGTACTCGTTATGCAACAAGGAGAACTTTATGAATAAGTGCGGATCTCTCATGATTTATAAAAAAAAAAAAAAAAAAAAATAGAGGAACCAGCAGGTCAGGAAGTGGTTTTGAAACAGATTGGGGAATCACAAGAATATGCTTAGTAATATAATGATTTTGGTTTAAGCAGAGCATGGTGACAAGGATGAAGAGGAATCAGATGATAATACAGAAGATGTTGCAAAGTTCGAGGAGGAGGAAGGGAACGAGAATGATGATGAGGAGTGATGCTGTTTCTGTTCTTGTTTCCTCACCCTCATGTTTATTCTAAAATAACTGATTTTGTTGGTCTGTCTACTTCTCTCCATTCCATGAACTTTCTTTTTGGATGGATTTGGGCTTCTTTGGTTGAACTTTGTTGGCTTGTATGAACTACTAACTCTGCTATGGTATGAACTGTTTGACTAATCTCTTTTTGCAGCATAATGCTTGAATGGTGGTTGATGCCATTGTATGGATAAGCACATTAACTTGTGCACATTGCTTTTACTTGTGGATACTTTTTAATGATGCCAAAAGGGGGAAGTAGTTTGAAGTTGAAGCCTAAGGTTTAGCTAGTTTAGATTGAGTCAGTTTGAGGTTTAGCTAGTTTAGATTGAGTAAGTTTGAGTCTTTTTATTTCGTATTTTCTATTTTCTGTTTAGGGGACCAGTTAGCCTAACTGACTTGTTCCAAAGAGTTTTGAGTCCTTGAAGTTTTTGACGGTTTTCTTTTTGAGCATGTCCACAAGTTCAAGAACTTCAAGAGTTTGTCATCATCAAAAAGGGGGAATTTGTTGAGTCCCTTAGGTTTTGATTGATAGTTTTGAATGATGACAAACAGCTAAGGGAAACAGGTCTTTGAAAGTGTTCAATACAGTTGGGGGAACCAACTAAAATAGAACACTGTTTTCCTAGATAAGTTATTGATTATATGAGTTATCTATTGAACTAACTTATCTATATACAGGAAACAGTTAGATGATAAATGTGCTATGTACTGGTGGGGAACCAGTATGAACCGTTTCCTTGACTGTTATGCGGAAAAGCAGTCACATACTCTTTATTGTGCATTAACCATGTTACATGTGCAGTAGTTGAGTTGATTCCAAGACTTGGAGCATAGAAGCCTTTCGAAGATATTTCGAAGAAAGATTGTTTGCTCATAATAGAAGTATTCAAGGAAGATTCAAGTCTTGAAGATTACATGAAGAAAAGACGATTTATGCTTTAATATGTTATCTAGGTTTTCATGTAATATGCTCCGTAGTATGCTTGCATGTTTGGGTTATATAAGTGCTTAAAAGTATATTGAAGTATGATATGAAATCTGGTACAAAGTTGGAACAGGTTTCATAACATGTTTCAATTCAGGGAACCAGGTCGGGGAACCAGGTTCACTGTACGAAATATTCGAGCTGCCGTTTTGGAAAAAGATTTTACAAAAAGATTTTTTCGAAAAGATTATTTTGAAAATATTTTGTGCAGCTGGAAATAAGATGAAATATTCTTGGTTACCTAAAAAATAGGAGTATTTATCTTAATTGATTCTATCTTTGTGATTAAATCAAATAAGATAAATACTTTCCTAAAATTACAATATATCTTATTCTCTAAGATTGTGTGATTTAAGGAAACTAGGTTTTAGGAATCTAAGCTTATATAAACTCATCTTATTTCACATATTTCGGGTGCCTCTCCAGAAATTAAAAAGAGCAATTATTTGAGAGCATATACTTAAGCACTAATCCCATTCATCAAGTCATATACAAGAGCATTCTAGTACAAAAACATTTTCTCTTAATTAGCTTCGTAGAAGTGAGATCAAAGGAGAGTTCTTGATTCTTGTATTGAGTCTTTAACAAAGGGGTTAAAGGCTGGGTGAGTGTTTGTGAGTTCAAATACATTGGGCTTACGAGTGTAAGTCGAGAGCACACTCGGAGTAGAGTGTGGGGTAGACTGGTTCCCGGAGTAGGGAAACAGTAGAGTGTTCTTTGTCTTTGTTTTTCGGAGTAGATTAATAAAGGACTTAGGATAGGAGGACGTAGGCCTGAGTTGGCTGAACCTCGTTAAATTTGTTGTGTTCTTTATTGCTTTGTTTTATTCCGCTGCATAAGGGAACCAGCACAACTGGTTCCTTACACATAATCCGAAAAGAAGCAAAAATCGCTAACGATTACTTAACACTCAATTCACCCCCCCTCTTGAGTGCCCATTGAACCTTCAAACACTAACAACTATAGTACGTAATACTAGTAATAATGTTGAAATACTGGTATTAAAATAAATAATCCCCAAGATATAGGAGAGAGAATAAAGTATGCGCATGATACGATACAGGAAAATTGTTGCAATGCAAACATGCATGCATGTTTTAGCTGTGTGAATGGGATTGAACACTACACTTATGTCTGCTAGGCGAACAGCCTCTTAGATTCCTTAGATCTTAGGGTCTCGTGCTCTACTTTTATTCACACTGTCTTCAATCTTCGTTCAATCAAAAATCCTATTCAGTTCGTAGAATAAAAATTTCGCTAGTGTAAGGTGTGAACCCAGTCACTTGTTAAAGCACAATATTGACGATTAATATTTTGCAAGTGTAACATGTTAATTCAGTCACTTGTTATAACACAATACTATTGTCTCATAGTCTAGAGTCTAGCAAGTTAGCCCGTATGAAACTTGCTTGCATTGGTCCTTCCTCGGGTTTTGTAATTTAATGTAGTTGTACGTTGTGAGTCTTATACTCTTATGTCGTCTAATGTTTTAATAATGTTTTAGTAATATGATCTTCCTCTCCAAAAAAAAAATTTAAAAAATTACAATTATCAATGAACAAATTTTATTTGTAACGTGTAGTAGCTTTACTGACTTCAAAACCAGCTGTTTTCATTATCGTTTATATTGCTTTCCACGTTTTTAGGGCCTATTCTCTTTGGCTTAAGTTCAATTCACTTCAGTTCCTAATTTTCTTCTCTCATAAAATATCCAGTTCAGTTCAACTCAGTTCAGTTCATCTCATTTCATTTCAGTTCAGCTCAGTAAATTAGAATCGGCCTTTAGTACTCTCAATTGTCTTGTTTAGGAATTAGGAGTATGTATCATGTATGAAATGATATTTGATTACATGGCCGCCTGAAATGGACTGATTAAGGGGGAAAAAACAAGAGAAAAAAAATTGAAAGGATTAATGGCTAACAAGGTATTAGGAGTAAATAAATTATCACGAGTTGACAGTTTCTCATTGTTCCGGCGCAACAAGCCGTCAAGCCTATATGAGGTAACCTCCATGCAATGGGCTCCATCCATTTGTCTATGTGTCTTGCTACAAATGGGTGCATTGTGGTATAGGTTAGTGTTATTGTGTGTTGTTTCCTCTATTGTATTATTTTGTTGCGCAAATGGAGAAGGCTAACTTGGATTCAAGTGTAACACGAGCAATTGGCGTTAGGTAATTTGTTTTGTGTACATCAAGCCATATCGCGTGACCGCTTGTTAAAGAACAAATTAACTCACATAATATTGATCGAGTAATTAACCCCTATAACACTGATGAATTAACCTTTTAACATTGAAGAAATAACCCCTGTATCACTAACCAAATAACCCCCATGGCCCAACCACATATAAGAATGTGTGAAAACCTAATCACCCTCAGCTCTAAATCTTATTGAGTACTCCTTTTGTTTTTTTTTTATGTGACATATATAATTCTTAAACTTATATACTTAAACCACTTAAAATAATTCACAATTTTTTGTATGCGGTCTGCTATATCGCGGCAGGGGTTATTCAAGTTATCCGGTCAGGGGTTACTTGAGTTAATCTTGACCGAATAACCCCTTAAGTAACCCCTGACCAAGTAATCCATGACCGAACCCCTCGAATAACCCCTGAATAAGTAACCCTTGATTGAATCTTGAAGTAACCCGTGAACGAACTCCTTAAGTAACCCCAGCCATGACCGAATTACTCGACTTATCCTTGATCGAACTCCTTATATAACCCCTTGGCCGAGTAACTAAGTAACCCCTGACCGAGTAACTTGAGTAATCCATGATCGAGTAACCTCGCTCTCCTCAAGTAACCCTTATTAACCGAGTGAACCTCTCGAGTAACCCCATGTCCAAACCCCTCAAGTAACCCCTGACCGAGTAAGTCTTGTCCGAACCCCTCAAGTAACCCTGAGTCCTTGATCGAGTAACCCCTGAATGAATAACTCGAGTAACTCCGAGTAATCCCTAACACACGGTGTTGCCTGCCGCACCAAAAAGTTGCTACTTAAATTAGTTTTTTCTCCTTTGGCTCTTGTGTTAAATGATTTATCTTCTCAAATAACGAAAACATAAAATAAAAAACTATTTAGTGCGTACACACGGATTCATTCTAGTCCTTTTAAAAAATAATAGAGAAAGAATTTTGTAATTAAGTGAAATCTATTGAGATATTTTACTTTGCGTTTAAAGAACATTCGACCAAAGCAACCAACCAATATCGATCACTTATTCCTTTTCTTAATATTTAATAAGAATCGTCTTATTAAGTACTCGTAAAAATTTCAAGTAATCAAGTTACAATTAGCACCACCACCTCCAACTTAATAGACAAACAACGTTAGTGGAGAACCACAAAACGGTGGACTCCTTTGTCAATGATTTTTGTCCATGGAACCCTTTGGTGATGACACCTGTCCTCATTCTTGATCTCCCACTTAGTTTTTGATTTTTGTGTACCAAATGAGTGCTTCACATTTGGACCTGTAATTGCTTTAATCACTTCAAAAAAAAAAAAAAAAATTAAAAATATCCATTTACTTATCAACTTCCTTACATAACTAATTACTCCTCCTTTCTCAAAATTTATAATTTTGGTTGAATTTATTTTGACTTCCCAAATCATAGTTTTCATCAAAGTATCAAACTTTACTTAAATTTTTTTAAAAAGAAATTAAATTCAGTGATTTTGATTTTTTATGTTCTAGTGAACTGAATTATGGCTTCAAGTGTGATTTACAATTCATTAACAACCTCAACAACCGTTTTCTTAAGAACCCACTTACCAACAATACTCTCATCTTCAAACGATGAACAACATCAACCTTCTTCATTGATATGCAACTGTAAATACCTGTTAAAGAAGTCAACATTTAGTGGGCAGAAAAAGAAAAAAGACAACTATGTGAAGGCAACAGCAGTGGCGGAGTCCTTTAAAACAACTCCGGCAGCCGAAAAAGAGAAGAAGCTTCGGATACTGGTGGCCGGAGGTGGGATCGGAGGGCTGGTGTTTGCGTTGGCGGCGAAGAAGAAGGGATTTGATGTGGTGGTGTTTGAGAAGGATTTGAGTGCAATAAGAGGAGAAGGGCAATACAGGGGACCAATTCAGATACAGAGTAATGCGTTGGCTGCTTTAGAAGCAATTGATATGGATGTTGCTGAGAAAGTTATGGCTGCTGGTTGTGTTACTGGTGATCGGATTAATGGTCTTGTTGATGGGGTTTCTGGTAATTGGTAAGTCCGTCTTTTTTTTCTTTTTATTTATTTTTGCTGAACTTAAATTATTTGAAACAAGTAGCACGAAAATAGGTTCGATTTGAGAGAATAAAGTCCAAGTCATTTCTGTGTTTTATTACCTCACTTGTTTTTCTTATGCATGTTTTATTACACACTTCAATGTAATAAATCTAATAATAATAACAATTTTTTATTTATGCTTCCTTCCGTGAACATTGATTGTAACGAATTGACGGTCTCTAATTAAAAAGTCACATAATTGACTTCATTACTCACTCAGTATAACATTATTGTAATTATCGGTATATTATATTGGTATTAAGTTTGAAAGGTAGCTCAATTCGTAGCTAGTTTCTCTTGTATTACAGTCATCATAGTCACGAAATCAAACCTTAGTTGATAAACGTAGGTACAATAGAGATATGCATGTTGTACTAGATAATGTGCTTTGAGCGATGGTACATGTAAATGATGCACAAGTTTGGTCGATCAGGTACTGCAAATTCGATACCTTCACTCCTGCAGTGGAGCGAGGTCTTCCAGTCACTAGAGTCATAAGCCGTATGACATTGCAACAAATTCTTGCTCAAGCGGTTGGAGAAGAAGTGATTATGAATGAGAGTAATGTTGTGGATTTTAAGGATGATGGAACCAAGGTATTTTAGGAACATAAAACACATGCCTTTATTGAATAGGCTTGGACATTTGATAAGCATTGCATTTCTATCTTCAATTCTTGATCATCTTATTTGTGTAATCCGTGTATATTTTGATTTCTGAATTTGTTATGACAAATAGGTTACTGTGACGCTTGACAATGGGAAGACTTATGAAGGAGATCTCCTAGTTGGAGCTGATGGAATTTGGTCAAAGGTAATTCAAGTCTCACAAAAGTTATAAGAATTAGAAATGTTTATGCAGATATCATTCTTTTCCTGATTTAAATTGACGTATTCCCCTGTGGATAGGTGAGGACAAACTTGTTTGGGCATACAGACGCTGTTTACTCAGGATACACTTGTTACACAGGCATTGCAGATTATGTGCCAGCAGACATTGAATCTGTAGGGTATGTTCTATTTACTATACTTAAGATTCTATCTCGTGGCTACTCTGTCAAGTATCGCCTCTTCTTTGAAAACTTTACTGTAGAAAGGAGAAAGATGTGATCAACCAGTTGCTTTTGCTACAACATAAGAGTAGTAGCTCAATTATTTCATTAGGCTAACTCTCTCTTTTCTTTTCCCTCCCCAGGTATCGAGTGTTTCTGGGGCACAAACAGTACTTTGTATCATCAGATGTGGGTGCAGGCAAGATGCAGTGGTATGCATTTTACAAGGAAGATCCTGGAGGTGCTGATCAGCCCAATGGTAACTACATATTCTCTTTCTCTTGCATTCCAACCTTCCTGGTTATTTTTTGTTACATGAAGAAGTATAACTTAGTATGTTCATGTTCTAACAATACAAGTTGTTGCACAGCTTATAGTGAATATCAGCATTACACTATAGTACCAATTTGGAGATCCCACTTAGTGCAGAACCAAGTCGATACGTTATTCTAAGTATAACCTGTCTTGCAGGTAAAAAACAAAGGTTGTTTAAAATGTTTGAGGGATGGTGTGACAAAGTAATTGATCTTATTGATGCTACTGATGAAGAGGCTATTCTTCGACGTGACATTTACGATAGACCACCTAGTTTTACCTGGGGGAAGGGTCGCGTAACTTTATTGGGTGACTCGATCCATGCTATGCAGCCCAATTTGGGCCAAGGAGGATGCATGGCCATCGAGGTAAAATTAATTTGTAGTTAGCTGCGCAAGAAGCCTAATCCATTGGCCAAAGTAAACTTGTTTTTATTGCAGACTAAAATAAAATTTCTTGGTTGATACAGGACAGCTATGGGCTAGCTCTTGAGCTGGAGAAAGCATGGCGTAAGAGTTCTGAATCTGGAGCACCAATTGATGTTGTTTCCTCGCTAAAGAGGTAAAAGCATTTATAAAAGAAAAGCAAGCATAACACAATTCCAATATTACAGTTGAAGTTGTCTATTGTAATGTACAGTCTATCCCCCATTCCCCCTTATAGTCTTGACTCTCTTGAGAGTAATTTTTTAGCCTATGTTCAATATGCAATAGATGTGATGTATTGTTTTAAACACACTGTCGAATAATCGTGATATGAATTATATCTGAATTAAGTTTAACTTACTCTGAAATAGTCTTGAAATTTTGATCAAAATGTATGAAATTGAATATTGGACAGAACAAATTTCTTAAAAATGTCTGGGAGTACTTATGATTCAGAATTTTATGATCTTGAATTATGGTTGGGTATATGTCTAAGATGATCTCTACAATACATTTGTTGCTATCCTTTGTCAGTTATGAGGGAGCTCGAAGAATTCGAGTAGGCATAATTCATGGATTGGCTAGAATGGCGGCAATTATGGCAACAACTTACAAAGCATATCTAGGTGTAGGACTTGGTCCATTGTCGGTAAGAACTCTGTTTCCTGAAGTTAGTTAATTGACTTAATTCATCATGCAGTGCCATTCGGTAACTTGATTCTTGCAATCTGCAGTTTTTGACAAAATTCAAGATACCTCACCCAGGAAGGGTTGGTGGTCGTGTTTTCATTACCCCAGCAATGCCTCTAATGCTGAATTGGGTTTTAGGTGGTAACAGGTTAGTAATTTTAACTTATTACTAATCTGAGAGCCTGTGGCATAATACATAGCATAGCCTCTGAAATCTAGCTTGTTCTTACATTCTTTGTGCCTATAATCTCCACAATATTGTCAAAGTCCTCAAATTCATTAATGAAATAAACATGGTTAACTTTCCTCCTGTTGGCTATGTTATTACTATGATCTGGTTGCTCTTGTCAGACATGTACGTATCCAAACCTTGCCTTTTTGTCAGTTATAAACTGACAGATTATCAGGACCTGTGGAACATCCTAATGGACAGGCTTTGCCAGTTTATGTTAAATTCCATAGTTTTGGTCTAATTAAAAGTTTGTCCATTTGTCCATACTCCGTACCCTTGTTAGAAGGTCAGAGATCCAACATGAGTCTTTGTGGTGAGATAAAGAGCCTGAGTAGCATAGCCTATACGGATGCACATGTTTTTCTTCTGCTTTTCCTTTCTATAAGTAATAGAAGAAAATCCAAGCCTGGGACATGTTTCTGGATCCCTGGTTGATCTCCACACGTTTTAATTGAAAGCCAGCAAGTAGTACGAGTATGTTTTTTTTTTTTTTTTGGTTCTATGCATGTTAATTGAAAGAAAAAATGTACAAGTTTATGAAAATTTAGCTTTCCCTTTTGTCATATAGTGGTTTGTCCAATACTTCAAACACGTATGATTTATAAATTATAATCATACTCTCCTACTCCCCTTCTGCAGTGAAAAACTTGAAGGAAGAATACCACAATGCAGATTGTCTGAAAAAGTAAGTATGAAAGAGCACTACAAACTTGTTCCTTGTACTAATTCATTGCAAATTTTTTCCCCTATTTTTTAATGTTCCATACACTCAGCACTTATTTGTTTTAAAATAAATAAATGTAAGGCAAACGACCAACTACAAAGATGGTTTGAGGATGATGATGCCTTGGAGCGTGCTCTTAATGGAGAGTATGTCAAGTAACCCTGCATTTTTTCTTCTATCTGATTTGTAAGAATATATTCATAAACAACTAGTAAATTCCCTTTTTCTTCTTGTTCACAGATGGATTCTCCTCCCTCAAGGAAATGTTGCTGAATCTTTAGAACCTATTTGTTTGAGTACAAAGGAAGACGAGCCATGTATAATTGGGTATGCTCCTTATCTCTTCTTAGAGTTCAATTCACTTCATAGAGGAGAGTTTAGATTGGATATATGACTATTTTTCATTAGCTTGGCTATGTACATTAATTTGGGTCATAACACCCTAAACCTTTAAGGACATTTTGAAATCCTCTTACTAGCCATCTACTTGCTACATACATGGTTTCAAAGGCAAAATATTTAATGGAATAGACAATAATACAAGATGGTAATGCTAATGAGATTATGTGTGATTTTGCACACAAATTGTGTGCCCAAGTTCATGGTAATACCTTTTTATCTCCAAGTATGTGACTTTCATCGTAATATATTTTCACATCTGAACACATTACACATACTTACCCTTATTGATACTCGTTATACTACCTACCAAAAGGGTCAGTAGAGTACTAATTGCGTAATATTCATTGCTTTAGGATGGTTATTCTATAGTTCTCATATTCATAATTTTTTTTTGCCTTTATTTGATGTTAGGAGAGCATCTCATAAGGATTCCTCGGGTATGTCAGTAGCTGTGTCTTCACCTCAGGTAATAAACTTTCATTCTTTACCTCAAATTCTCTTTTTTGAAAATTTCACCTTTGCTCTTCTATACATGTGTCATTGATTTTGCTCTCAAATTTCTCTATTCAGGTTTCAGAAAGACATGCTCAAATCAGCTGCAAAGACGGAGCATATTACTTGACAGATTTGCGTAGTGAACATGGAACATGGATCACAGAGTAAGTTGATTACTGGAATATAATTGCAGTGGCCTGAGAATTCTTCCATCCACTGAGTACATACTGACTCTTTTTTGTTTTTTTTCTCAGTAATGATGGCCGACGTTATAGAGTACCTCCTAATTTCCTTACAAGATTTCATCCGTCAGATATCATTGAATTTGGATCCGACAAAAAGGTGCTGTAGACATCCTCCCCTTCTCCATATATACTTCAATCTCCCCATCTTACATAAGTGTCAGTAAATAATAGTGGCGGACTCAGGAATTTCCGACTGGTGAGTCACAATTGATAACCAAATATGTAAAAAGAAAAATTTACCAAAATTCTCAAGAAAAATTATTTACAAAGATCATCCAAATAGAAAATTGACAAGATTACAGTACTAACTAATAATTAACAAGCTTAAAATTGACAAGACTAAAATTAACAAACTAATAATTAACAAGCTAATAATTGACAACATGACAAGCTTAGCTCTCTAATAATTAACAAACTAATAATTGACAAGATTAAAATTTGTACAAGCATTAGGTTCACATTTCATCAAAAACCCAACAACATTAACAAAAGGTTCAAAGTTAGTATTTTTTTTAAAAAAAAAAAACTTAGAAAATAATTTATTTATTTTTTTTTTTTAAAAAAACTTAAAAAATATTTTGGGCCCTGGTGAGTCATTTGACCCACCAGGCATAAGGCCAAGTCCGCCAATGGTAAATATGAGTTTTCAGTCCTAAGCTTATGATAATATTGGAATTTTATGATAATGCTGGGGTAAAGTTATCAACTTCTCATTAATTATAAAAAATATATATATGCCAACATAATAATTTCATAACAGATCAAAACATTAACATCAGGAAAAACCAAAAAAATACAGTTTTGATCCATAAGTTTTATTCAGCAAAGTTCTGTTTCTGTTGATAATAATCAGTTTTAATAATCAGCAAGATGTGAATAAAGCAATGTCTGAAATTTCATATCGTTTTTGCGTTCTTCTTCCCTTTAGCAGGCAGTGTATCGAGTGAAAGTGATGAGGACGTCTCCAAGGGTGGAACAAAATAAGCCTAATGCAGCAGTACTGCAGACTGTGTGAAAACCTTGTCAAGTTTCCTGTGTTAATTTGTTGATATGGCCTCAATGTACAGAATTCTTCAGGAAGATTGCAAAAGTGATCTCAGCCAAATCACCCCACACGTAATTAGAAGCTAGAACTCTATGTTAGCTGTGTAATATGATCTTCTAAATTCTTCATGTTGTACAACTGTACGAATTATGCTACCATGTTTGCTTCTTAGGTTTTGAAGATCGACTGAAATTATACGAGTGTATATTTGATTGAAGTTTTGCTTAATTATTGATATCATCTTTGGTATCCTGCATGTTTCCCTGAATTCCCCCTCTTTTATTCTGTCTTCCCAGTTCCTCTTCTGCTATTATGAGAGCTAAAAATGTATTAATGCATGCAACATTAAGCCTAATATATGTAGAAATCAAATGTAATTTCATATAAATTTTTTTCAAGTGCATCAATTAATCTTTTAGCCCTAAACTTCAAATTGGTCGCTCAGTATTCTATTATTGATCTTATTGACATAGTATTCAGACACCTCAACTAACTCATTAACAGATTTTTGATGTTCACCGGGCTTAGCGGAACATATAAATAAACTAAAATTACTCGTAAATTAAAGTGAGATTCGAAGACTTTTCTTCTGAATTCAAAGGGTTCGTATGACTTTTACTCAACCGTCTAGATCTTTTTAAAATTAAAAGCAAGTAAATAATTGGTCTTGTAGTACTCTAAACTTTTACGAAGTAGCAAATTATGTAAAGACAACTTTAGTACCTTCATTCATTCATATGATGTGATTCATTATGTCTTTATGTGATAGAGATAATAATTCAAGTATAGGTTGTTTGGCTATATATATCATAAAACCATGCAACGTATTGTAATATAAAATGAACCGTACTCAAATGTCATATTCACCCATAAATGCCACCGAAAATAATCAAACCATGAATTGTCTCATTTATACATGAGTTTGATTAAAATGATTCAAGAATGAAAAGTATAATTCAATTGAGATGTTAACTCAAAAACCACAATTTCATCTGGTGGGCCCATTTTTCTTGGACTGGGCCTAGTTAAGATGTTAGAGGATAGGAACTGTTTTTCTTACAGGACAATAATGTCTCATAAACTACAGACACCAAATTGATTAATAAATCAAAAAGCCCATACTTTGTATTCATTTCCATATTGGGGGCCCATTTACAATTTTTGCACAAAAGTCCAAATATTTGCTTAATTTTCTTTTTATCTTTTTAAAGAGAAAGTAAAATGCATGTGGAAGTAATTTATGTCTTCATGTGCCACACTGTTAATGTGGTACGTACTAATCACCTATTGTTTTTTTTTTTTGAGCACGTGACCAATGCAGAGGAGGACACGTGATGAAGAGAGAATAGCGGTGAAAGTTGCACATGAAGCTTTGCTTACAACGGTCGGTTTAGCCTTATGGCCGGTAATTGGCCGTTGGCATTTATTTCTCACAAGTCATTCAATGATGCTTAGATATTGTTGGAAATCTATCAAATAATGTTCATATTATTATCGGACATGGATATGTTGTAAATCATAGTATGGCTTATTTGTATATGTAAAGGTTAGTTAGGAGGGTCCAAAAGTTTGTATGGTACTCATAGTAAAGCAAATATTCGTCGTCCTACATAACAACTTTTATAATTGACTAAGTGTATAGTGATAAGAATTATTTTAAGAAAATGCGTATGATAACGTTATAATTGGATAAACTGTTTTCAATAGACTAATAACTAATATAAAATCTCAATATATGAATCTCATAAGCTGTATTTCATATGTTAATTTTTATAATTTTTCTATCTATTATACATTGACTCGTGCCAAGTAAGATAAATGATGAACTTGTTCTCATATGAGATCCGAATAAGGAATAGAAATTTTGTATATAAAGATTTTTTTAACGTACCCCTTATGATAGGTGGTATTTCTTTTGGCAACATCCAGCTTCAATAATTAAAAACATTGAACTTAAAAAAAGAAGTTGGGGTTGAGCGATTGAGCGGTGTAAGAAATAAATTTCTCCCACATGCACATACATATCACATATGCATATGCAATTTATGTACAAAAATTGGTGCACGCAATATAATGAGGTTATGATTGATTCAATATCTTGTAGCGGTGTTAGTGTACATACAAAATTCCAATGGGAAATAAGTCAAATAACCAATTTAATAATTAGCCTATTCAAATATTGCTGAAACACTGCTTTTCAATATAATTCACGAGGAAAATTAGAGGTTAATCTGTTTATATATATTACAGTGCACTTATTAATTACACATTTTATCATTAATCTTTTAGTGAAATACAGTGTTAATTTTTGTATATTTGATACGTACTATATACTGCTTTCATTATTTTTATGGAGTAATAAACTTGTTATTTGAATTATTTTTAATTAATTTTTTCGTGGCATGTCGGGTCTGTTATAATAGACTGAAATCAGCTGAACTGAACTGAACTAAACTAAGCTGAACTGAACTAAACTAAACTAAACTGAAATGAATATTTTATAAGAGAAGGAAATTAAGAGATGAGCTGAATTAAACTGAACTGAGTTGAAACTAAACGTATGAGAATATGCCTGTATGATTAAAAAAGTACTATATTGTCCTAATATATATGGATGTATCAATAATTGTTATGACCTCAAATTTATACTTGTATTGACTATAGTTCATCATTACGAACAGTACAAGATCTAACCATTATAGAAAATTACAAATAAATAATGAGCCACATTCATGGTAGTAGCAAATCTGAAATAAACAAATGGTACATCTTATATTTAGTACACTTCCTGTCCTGTAGCAAATTTTCACACTTTAGGAGTCTGCTTCAACGATATTTTTTATGCAAGTTAAACACAAAAACATGTCTTATTTATTTATTTTCCCTTGTTAATATTAGAATAGATTTTACTACAAGGATAAAAAAGACGAGATATTTTCATGTCGCATTCATTTACTTATTCCCAACAGTTGAAGCTTGAAGATAAGTCTGGGAAAATGGAATCATAATATAGCAAAAGCTAAGATATCAACATCGCACCTTCAAGCCACACCCAATCGGGTTCTTGAGGAACAACCAATCTTTACTGCTGTTGCATTGTTGATATTGAAAGGTGTGACCATCTAATTATATTTACCAACCCATGCTTATAAATATGTTTTTAGGTAAAATATGATACTCATACTCGATTACCCTAATCGATATTGCTGTCAAATTGAAAGTCACAGTTTATCCATAGATCAAGTAACCAAACCAATATTGCTACAACCTCCATTTCTTTAGGTGTTCCATTTTTAGTATGACCAACGTTGTAAAAAAAATGTAGACATATCATATGCAATATTGTTAGATACGCCTCAATAACTAACGATATTATTAATCCAAATTCAACAATAATAGGAGAGAATATCAAATCATGCCAATACAAAGTAAAAATATCATACACAACTTGTTAAGGTGTTTTTTTAAAAAAAATAGTAAAGAGAAGGGCCCTATTGAGTCGGAAACCCGAGCTAGGTTATACAATTTGAATTGATAAGGTTATGGTAATTGATTTGATGAAATTTGAGGTTAGTGCACCTGATAAAATGTATGGCCCACAGAAGACATGGTCCCCTCACCTGCGACGGCCCACTAATCTCTGACAAGCCCTTTTCTTATCACGAGAAGGCCCAAAGCCCACACACCAAAAAAATCAAAATACCAATCCCTTTCCCATTTCCTATCCCTTTCAAATTTAAAAGACCTTTGCAGGCATTCAGGGGTTTCAATTTCTTTAGCTTTAACATCGCCTCGTAGTCTTGTCTTCTAAAAGCCAAACGTTTTGGTTTGGACATCAATCCCCCCCCTTCAGCTTCACCACAGTTTTCTTTTCCAAATTCCAACGTTTTTAACCCCACTTTGATGTTTCTCCATTCCCATTTCCCGTTTCTTTCTCACTTTGAGTCCCTTCTTTAGTTCTTTTACTTTTTAAGCACTGTACGATGCATTGTAGCTCTATTTATAACAACATTGTAATTTATACGGAGTACTTCATAGTAATGTATAAAGTGAGAAATTTGAAAGTTAAAGATGAACCGCTTTCATTTTCAATATATGCAAATTCACACGTAAAATAATTTAGACACTATATTTAACATACTACGTATTTGATATATCAATCAAATATACAGCTTAAAAGACGTTTGCTATATATTATAAAATATATGTACAAAATCTATTAGGTATACCAGCAACTTAGCTAGGTTGTACTCGATCTTATGTCTCAATAAAAAAAAACAGTAGACCTTTAAATGTCTTCGTAAAGTATATACTCGCAAGTCATAAATAATTTAAAATAATTAGAATTAGGGTCTAATATTGACACAAGTGACATCCCCAATCAAACCCAACCCCATAAAAATCAATCATTCAATGAACAAAACGACAAGATACACACACATAAACACAGCAATACGACGCCGTCGAATTACCCCACATTTCCAATGTCGTCCCGTCGAGTTTAAAATCTTGATGATATAGCGGTTCCCAACGCAAATAAAAATCTTTGTTCGTTTGGCATTGTTGCGGTTTTCATTTTTTTGGTTTTTTGTATTTTAAAAGTGTATGATATATGTCATATAATGAATAAAAAATTAGTCAAACTTATTAAAAACATGTTAATTTTGTAAAAACACATTTTTCTTATTTCCTTTTTCTAGTTTTTTGTTTTCAAAAAAACTAAAAACTGAAAATAAAAAACAATCTCAAACAACCCAATATAACGTTCTCATTTTTCATACCACTCTCCTCTTTCTCGGGTCCCACTCCCTTCCTAAACGTCTCTTTTTTCCCCAAAGAGGACGCACACGTGCATTCCAATTTCAAAGTTTTAACGTTAAACAACACACTAATCCATATATTAACAATCCTAAGTATCTATAATTAGCTGTAAACATTTACATCCCTTGGATTTTATTATATTTGGCAACAAATGTTATTAACACGTACTTTAAAGAAAATATTAGAGACCGATTAAAAATTTAAAAGAGTTGTGTATTCATTCATTACGTTATTATTACAATCAAAATACTAAGTATATCCATTTTTTTTTTTGTATGTTCGCTTTCCTTTCATAGTACAACACCGAGTAAATCTCCACCCTCTTTCTACGCTTCGTTTTTTTTTTGGGAAAATGCCTAAAAAGAGAGAACCTTAATCCCTTGGTTCCAAAATATTGTTTTAAAAATAATAATAATAATACAGAAATA